AGTTCACTACTTTTCGAAATCTCTATAAAAAAATATATAAAAAAAATATATATATAAAAATATATATGTATAAAAAAAGATATATAAAAAAAATACATATATATATAAAAAAAATATATATATAAAGAACATGCATAAGCATATATTTTATATGTAAAAAAATATTGCGCAAAATTTTTTTAAAAAAATATACACATAAATATATTAATATATTATTATAATAAATATATTTATGTATATATACAAACAAATAATAATATAATGTAATAAATATATAAATTTATATACAAAAAAATTTTGCGTTTATATTTTATTAGTAGTTTTGTAATACTAATATTAATATAATTAATTAATTATGTATAAATAGTATGCAATACATAATATATAATACATACGATACATTAAACAATTATTATTATAAATAATTATTATTTATTCATAAATGTTAATATATTTATTAGTTACATTAAGATTTGATATTCTATTTAAAAATCATATGTCTTTCTCACAACTTTTATTAGAGTTCAGTTTGCAACTTTAAGCTATTATTTGTTATTTTGAAGATCTGAACCCAACTATACTCAGAAATATGGTTAGTCTATTATGTTTTTTTAAAATTGACAACAATAAGTAACTAATTTAATGTTTTATTATTTAAAGAGACAATTCTCGTAAAACTATTACATAAATATTAAATTATCATTTCCTTTGATCATGTGTCGAAAGACTAATATTTAAATCTTCTATGCAATTCATAATTCTAAAATAAAATTATATCATCTCCGTATTTTATTTTACCATCAATAGTTTGGTAATAATTATATACTATAACGTATTAATATTAGAAAAAAAATGAATTATTCTAACAATATATATGAATAATAAAATTTTATTTTTTATCAATTAATTGAATTTTTGGCTGACCTACAGCTAATTCGAGTATTGCCAAATACCCATTATCAGTGGTCTTGGAATTATTTCTTGTATTAATTATTCGTAGATTTTTGAGACTACAAATACGAAAAGTTAAATTCGTGCCCTAAAAAAAAGTTGAAGCTCAGAGTTAGTGTTCTGTAAATATATATATTTAACTTCTTATTTATAAATTCTATATGTCTTTTTAAGAAAAGAATTGTTTTTATTGGTATAGTAATAACATTTTTCGATACATATTTAGCACTCGATAATTTTTTTTCTACATCAAGGATTTTAGTACATTATCCTTTCTTGCTTCTTATATTTACTAAGTTATGCATCTCAAAATACTTATAACTACAAATATTTATTATGAAATCCATAAAGAAGACTTCAACGCAATATTACTGTAAATTATTTACAATATATTAAAATATATTAAAATTATAAACAACTAGTGCCACAACAAATCACTACTAATAGTAAGAAGCAATTAAACATAATGAGAATTATAAATACATGAATTTCTATATATGTTTGGAAATTGTGCTAATATAGCAATATTTTCTTACATATTCTTTTCAACCACAAGTCAGATTTGAAATCTTTGATTTGAGTATAGGTACGAATTATTAAATATATACCCTTGTACTAGTAAGGAAAATTGGCGAAATCATAGTTAACAATCATATTCGGTTTTTTTACACACTGCGTGTGTCTATATGGTTTATTGTGATGTCACTTTTTCAATTTTTTGGTAAATTTGCGTTTTTGATTGGTAAATTTGGATTCACTCTAGATTTATTCTTTAAATTTTACATAAATACGTATGTCGAATTAAAGAAATCACACTTTATGTGTAAAATCATATAAAACAGCTGTTAACTTCAGGATAAGCTAAATGCTCTAATAATATATATAGAGTGTTGAACTTTAATTTCGACTGTGATACATTTCGCTCGAGATGTATCAATCAAAAATGAAAATTGCTCTAAAAGTGAATCTCAGTTAAAAAAGTTACCCCAGATCTACCAATCAAAAACGACATAAGAATAATTCTAAGAGTTTGTCATATCTTTCTTTAAATGATTTAATAATTTTATGATATATTTCATGATATGTTTAAATTTAATGATATTATAATAATATTTTAATTATAAATCTTTAACTACCCATTTATTAAAACACTATATGTTTGATAATTTTTTCCTATGTTTAAGAGGTCTCCTAGTATACTTATTTAGTGGTAACTCAGTATTACCTCATTTATTTTAACTTTATAGGTTTCTCCTCTTATCCGTATTAGTGTAAAATATTTAAGCGGTCCTCGGTTTGGAGTGCAAATAAATTAATTATACTTTATGGCAAGATACTTACATGAATGAGTTCAGGTCTTTTACTTTACTGGATTAATTTATTAACTTGATGAATGATCTGCATTAATGAAATTAATATGAAATATTTTGTACCTTTTGAAACTAGTTTTAACAATAACAGTTACCAAAAGTCGAAACAGAGATTATCTATACCAAGCTATTTTAGTAGTTTATTTTAAAATACAAATTAAATCAATTTTTACTTAAGTAGTATTTTTTAATTACTATCCATGCCTATATTATTCTCCTCATAAGGTTATTAAAAAAATTTTTTTCAACATTTAGTATTAGTCCAGTAAATAATCAAGCTTTATAACAAACTTTCATTGCAATAATCTCATTGTTAGTTAATACTTATCCACTTATCTTACCGGTTTTCTTTTGCTTCATTTGGAAGACCAAATGCAATGACATTATGCTGTATTGGAACGAATAGTTAATGTAGCTCGCAATGAACAATAGTTATCTCCGAATGTTTGTGTTAATCTTCGTATTAATTTGTGCCCAATAAAACTAACCTTACCTAGTAATATTGAATAGATAGCTGGGTGAATCAACATGAATTGGAATACAAAAACATATATATATCATAGAATGAACTACGCATATAGGTGCGATACCATCCAATTATTTCATTTATACTATTTTTCTAACTTTTAAAATAAAAAAAGAAAAACAATATAATTATATTTTGATTTTAAATAAATTTATTTAAAATTGTTTTAGAACTTACAATGATTTTTTTTTCTTCTTCTTTTTGTTTTTTTAAATTTAATTAATTAATCGTAATAAGTCTATACTATGCAAAATTCATATAACATTTTTATGAAATTTTTTTTTTTTGTGATTTAAATATTAGAAAAAATTAAAATATTTCTTTTGTAATGAAAAAAATTTTGTGCTGATATGGGGTCTCACTTAAAACTATTAACATTCATAATATACACAATTGAAACTTTATAAAACTAAAATATGTAAAACTATAGAACACACATTCAAAAATTTTTTCGTACATACAATACTACAATAGATATATGTTAATATTTGCGAGATATACATAATTGTACATAATTTTATATAATTTTATAAAAATATCTAAGTTTTTCTGTCGTCAATACAGAAAAGTATAATATATAGTAAATTTAAAATTCCTAAAAATCAAAATGAGTTTACATTGTCTTTCAAGAAAGTGATGCAAAGTGTTATGATGTTTTATAGTATCTCTTTACATCATGGAGAGATTATTTAAAATAATATGAAAATAATTTTTGTTGTTGTAGTTCACTATTGTTCGAAACCTCTCTATTAAATACCACAGTTTCTGTTAAAGTAATAATAGTCACTAATGTCATATTGACGTGAAAATCATTTTTAATATCTTTACATCAATTAATTATAATTTGTTTTAATTAATTATGTTATTAAAAATTGTAATATTTTAGTGATAGGGAATATGAGCGCTATTAGCATTTAAGGAAAGAGTATCGGAGTTTAAGAGAAGAACAAGAAAACCGATTGATTTTTGAAATGAATAGATTGATGTATTATAATAAATCGTTACACATTTTTTCTCAAGTTTATTTCTTTCTTAATGCAATTATTCTTATTTGCAATATAAATGTCACCACCCATGTTGCAGTTAGCTAGCACTTTTTATTTATATTTTCTATATGGGCGTTTAATCTAAGATTATATTGTGTTTTCTTAGAACAGTACTTCTTTTTTATATTCTCTTCTATATGCCTGAACTCAAACACAGTTCAAGTAGCTGGTAGTTTGACTGTTTTTATTTTAAATTGTTTTTTACCAAAATATAAAAATATCTACAGGTAAGCTTAGTTTGTAATAAACAAACTATCTTAATTTTTATTTTATCTTAATTTTTTATTCTAAGTTGCCAATAATAATAATAGATAGAATCTATTAACCACTGAAATCGTGTTTTCAGTTTTAGTGTTCAGTGACATTATTGGAACTATTTTAATAAAAATTATATATTCTGCACTTCTCAAAACTTCTCCTGCCCACTAGTTAAAAATATTTTGTATGGATGTGAAAAAGTCACTCATAATATATTGTTTTTTAAAATAATAATAGTGATACCTCTAAAAAACAGCTGGATAACTGACTTGTTGCCCTTTCGTATAATAAGTACGTTACACTTTTACTTGAGATCCTGAACACCACTATTGTTTTTATAATATTATTGATGAAATATTTCTAGAAATAATCACTCATTACTATTATTAAATACTCTTTATAATGCCATATAGAGTGTTTCAAACGTATAGTACTAAATTGTGTTTCTCGACACAATAAATCCGGTTAAATAGCAGTGCTATTACTTCATTGAAAACCTTTATTAATAGTGTTTACTTTTCTATTTATTTATTTTGGGTAAAAATACCATAACAGATATATAGTTCTTTTTTTTTTTTAAATTTTGAATACTAATTAAACAAACTGCAAACCCTTTATTTTCTATTTTTTATTATAAAAAACACTTTGCATCAACATTTTCTCTCCTTAAACTAAAAAATTTGCTGCGAACTGCGCGAACGAATCTCTTAAAATTAATACGTTTTTAATACTTATTGCATCGGTAATTACAAAGACTTAAGATACAAAGATACAAAGACCTAAGATTGTTGAAGAAAAATATTGAAAAACAATTCATTTAAATACTCAATAAATTTAAGTACTCGCCAAAAAAAAAAAACAAAAGACAAAGAATTTTTTATGATGTTCAAAATTGTAGAAAGTATAGAGTGTAGGTAGCTTCAATCAAAAAGTCGAACTGTTAAAATACAGTTTTATCTTAAAACCAATATAGGTCCTTTGATGATTCTTGCACTTGTGCCTCCAAACCTGTTAAAATAAATATGAAAAAGTTTAGTTTAAACATGAAATTGAAATATTATTTTTAGTCAATATTAACTAAGTAATAGTCAAAGAAATTATTTAAAATCGTAACCGCCAACAATAGAAAAATATATGGTCTGTATATAGTTTTTTGATAGCTGTTGATCTTATCATCCAAGGTATTGTACTTTTGTAATTACAATAAATTTACATATAAAAAAAAAGATAGAAATAAAACAAAATTCACTACTAGTAGAATATAGATTTCTATCCCCTAATAAATTTTTAATCGTGTTAAAATTAAAATTAAATATCTTACTATTAACAAATATCAAAATAGTTTTAAACTGTTTTTTTTTTTCAAAGTTAAACTAACCAATTTATAAGTGTCGGTTCCTATACTACTTACGGTTACTTACTACATTAAGTATTTTTATATCAGACTGAGCATTGGCATCAGTTGAGGTGTTATACTATATAATATATAATTTATAATTTTATAATTTTTGTTTACAAATCGAATGTTAATTATACATGCTTCAAACACCTACTTTCCAAATATTTTCCCGGTTTTATTAAAGTCAAATGTCACTGACATTTATTTAAAAATTATATCACTTTTGCGTTATCTGAACTATATCTTTCACTTAAAATTTATCTTACACATAGTTGCATTTGAAATATCTCTTAATTTCAGTCTTCGTTTCAACGAAATTAAGGTCATTTTCCTTAATTTTGTATGGAAAAAACAACTTAATTTCGCTAAAACGAACATGATATTAAGATTTCTGCGAAATTAAGGTGAACATGTATAAGGCCATTTTCCTTAATTGTGTTCTAACCTTAAAACTGAATTTTGCATGAAAAAAAAACTTAATTTCGCTGAAATGAAGGTGAAATTAAGATTTTTGCGAAATTAAGGTGTGTCTGAATATAGTATATATTTCTTTATGGTTTAACGAACATGTCAAAGAACTTCCATAAACAGGCGACATAAACCCAGAAAAGAATTTTAAAAATAATATTTTGTTTTAACTTTTCATATTTATAATTATTCCTATAGGTCTTTATACATTATAAATAAAGTTTCATGAGCTTCAATTTGAGATGAATAAAATTATAATAAACATTTTTTCACTTGAATTCTCACTTATAATACTTCAGAGAAGTGGGGCAGGACAATCAATGTTCTATTAAAAACGTGATTACATAAATTATTTCTTCACAAACAAATGTTTCTTCTTAAGACAGCAAATAATGTTATTTGAGAAAACAAGCTCACCTAATCAATACTATCTACCGTTATTCAAATGATAAAAAATTATAAATCAAATCCGGGTTAATATAACTCACCTGCCATTGTGGGATAACTAGAATAAGCTGCTGCACTCTCCAATGCATGTGCCGTTTGCTGATCATGATGTAACCTAAACCATAAAAAAAATATATTTTTTTTTAAACAATAACAATAAACAACAATCAAATAATAAAAATAAATAAATAAATTTAAAATCTATTAAGTTATACATCTGAATAGCAATTTTACAACAGTGACAGCATTTGTGTTAGCAAATGTTTGGAATCGCACAAGTACTACCTATGTTAGTACGTACCTTGAACCGTGGCTATACTGTTGTGGCAGTCGCAAGTACTGTGCCATGTTGTGATGATGATAAGCATGAGCTGCGTGCGCATGTGCTGCATGTGCATAAGAGCCATAATGTGCCGCTGCATGTGGTACCCAGGGATCAGTTGCATAACCACCATCTGAACTATACAAATCGCTGACCTGTGTAGAAAAGAATTCAATTAAACTTTCAAAATGCACAAAATGTATGTAAATACAAAAACAAACTTAAAAGAGTCAACAAAAAAAACAAATTTGAAATGCATAATATCTCTTATGGTAGATATATATACATACCTGCGGATGTGTAGGCGCACTTACAGGATGCACATAGTTACTATTCCAAAATGAAGGTGGGAAATTTCTAGCTGACATTGGACTATTTGCTTCTGGAAATATAAAAGAGATTTTCTTCAAGTAATTTATTGTTTTTATTTATAAATAAATATATATTTGAATTATTATTAACTACAAAAATTTTACATTTCAAATTGAAACTATATTACTAAAAATAACTAAGTGGGTAATAGTTTTAAACATACATATTAAAAAAATGACGAAATCGGCAATGATATTGTCTACAAAAAGTAAATGGAAAATCGATAGTATGCAATAACGTTTCAATGAGACAATTCCAGACCACATGTACCTTCACTTGTTTATTTAAAAGGGACAACATCGGTAAACTTAACGTATTCGAATTTCATGTGAATATCAATTATCTCAACAATGCGCTAAACAATTATGTTTAGCCTACTTAAATTAGTCTGAGAATGGATAATAAAATATTTAGGACGTGTGCGAGTTAGGCTAAGTTGCGTTCTAAATGAGGGAAATTCTAAGATGAGCCGATAATGTAGTGATGTGTCGATACGTGTTGATAAATGGCTAAATGTGTGCAGTGCAAAAAATCCCAAAAAATCTCCCATTTGGTTTAGCATCAACTTAGCCTAACTCGCACACGACCTTAGATTACTTCTAAGGATGAGGAAACGTTGAAAAAAGTTAAAGTTTACGAAGGACAATACTTTAAACAATGAAATTTTCTTTTTACATAGAGAATATAAGTCTTTTGGTCTATAAAAATGTCTTGAATATCGTAAAGGTCTAAAATTATTTATAGATGTGATAATTATAGTACAGGATTGGCTATATTATGTGTGCCCATCTGGCAACACTGTAACTTTGACAAATGAAGTAAAATTGATTAATGAATATCTGTTCGGTAAATCAAAAAAATCCATAAATTACTACGAATTCGAAATGTATTTGTACTGCAATCTAAACAACTGCAGGTCATCAAAACAAAATATTTATTTATAAGAAAATAGCTTAGAGATTCGTTTTAAAAAAATTTGATAAAATCGTTATATACCCATCTACATACATTATAATAATGCCTCGCAATAGTTTCAATGTAATTATGATTAATATATGTAATTTATCTGATGCCTGATGACAACTGATCTGATGATGACTGCAAATCATAATTCATAGATCTACTTTATTTACGAATACTCATTTTTTCTATGTGGGAATATAACACATTTGTTTTTCGTTTCCATATTGCATTTATGGTTGCAATCAATAGATATACAATATTTTCATTTCATGACCTTCAATAAAAAATTTGTCCTTATTCTTGTATCTCTTTGATACCATACAAAGATACCTTTTCAATTATGTTACGTGGATGCGTATTCTAATTGTCGATATTTGACAACGCTGCTGAGGACAGGACCTTTAGTCTCCGCGTACATTATATCTTACTGTAAAGATGCCATCAGTTCTACTGGCCCCAGAAATCGTTTCAATATTTGCATTTCAAAATCATTTATTTTATTGTTATTAGCTTTTCTCGCTCCATATGGAATATAGATTAATTGATTTAAAGATTAGAATTAGTGATACAATTAAGTGTAGAATATAAAGTAATACAATAATGTTACGGTTTCTCAAAGTCAAAAGAAGTTGCCATTACTGAAACTCTATGTATCCGTCTGGCTTAAGAGCTGCATTGTCCTAACAGCTGTGGTAAGGCGTCTATTATTAGTAAAGCAGAGCTGAAGCTGTTGATAAACTCTGTGCAGGGTCATATGGCATGCGCAACTATTTTAAGGAGAATGGTCTGTTCAAAGGAACATAATGTCGGCTTTGTTTAAAAGCAGATGAGACATTTAATCATATTAGTTGTAATAATTTCAGGTGTATAATTATCTAAAATCAAATTTTTTTGGTTGGTTGCTCCTCTTCAGTATACCAAAGTTAGATCTTATTGAATGTCCTTTTTAAATAATTTTTAATATGTATATGCAAGAAACACAAAAATAACAAATGAGTTTATAATAATAAATAGCTTAGTTAGATAAAAGTTGGAACCCAATGTATGTTTATTTAAGATAATTTTTACTGGGTATTAACTATTTAAAAAACAGTATACTAATTTAGGAAACATAAAAATATTCAACAAGTTTATAATATTAAAAAGCTTATTTTACACCTTTGGTCCGATACTCCTCTTCAATAGCTAAAAGTTGGATCCTATTGAATGTCTGTTCTAGACAATTTTCACTGCATATTAACTATGTTAAAAACAGTATACAAATGCAAGAAACATAAAAATAACAAATGAATTTATAATATTAAACACTTTATTTTGGAAGTTTGCATTAAAAACTATCATTCAATATACTCCCTTCGCATCACACTTCATGAATTATGAGATGAACTGTAACATTTAATGGCGCCATGCCTTGTTTCAGTTGCAGGGGCCATATTTCATCATGTTTCTGGAATGCCTGTTAAAAAATACTTAAACCAATGTGTTAACTACCTAACAATGATTCCATGTGCATTATTTTCACTGCTTCATTTGCATTGATAGCAAATTTACACTTGTTAAAAGTTGCACTCTCTGTCTTCCATACTGTTCATACGGTTAAGGAAAAGTATATATGCACTACCAAAAATAGAAGAAGCACTTATTTTTCCTCGTATCAAATCCGAGTACATTTGTTGCAACGGAAAGGAATGCGTTTAAAGGCAAGGAATTCGCGTTTCTTTGCGCGTTTTGAAAAGTCTTGCCTCTGCGTCAACACAACGAAGCAAATTTTAGACTAAACTCAATACAGAAAAGATGAAATAATATATATTTTTATATATTTTGTATGTGTTGTGTGTTTGTTTATGCAGTAATGCAGTTATGCAGAGTAGTGATGTGCTCGATTGTTGTTCCTGTTGCTTTCTGCAGCAAATGTTGCTAAATGTTACCAAAGATGTGACGCTTTTTGAATTTCTGATGCGCCTTTTTACGTTCAAATGCCGCGTGCCGTACTTATAAATACAACAAACTCATTCTACCACCAACCAACCAACAAACTGAGCAACGAACCAAAGAACCTCACTCTTCCTCAGAAGTATTACGAATACGAATTCGAATACGAATAAGAAATGACGGCAAGGAATTCTCATTATTGCTGCGAATACAATTCACGCACAACCGCACACGTGCACACCAACTTGAAAACATTACAATGAACCATTTAAACATGCGCCTCCATGTCTGATGTTAGGGAGGACGTTTGGGATGGATAGGCGACAAGACCCACTGCTGCCTTCGGCAACAAAGTATAATGTATTTGTCGATGCCGTTCCATATTTTGGGCCTTAAAATTCACTTTCAATTTACTGAATACCAAAAAGATAAGAAACACAAAAAATCGTGCGCCTTCTTGTCGCTGACTAAAAGAAATCAAAAATCGGTAGGAATTTTATTTCCAATTTGATGACATAAACAACCACAAATTAAAACAACAACTACAACAAATACAACAAATACATGAAAAATCTAACAATAACTCAAATTGGAATTTAAATGGTTTTGTCTTAAAACACATTTAATTACAAGCATTTAAGTGGAGGCATCCCATAAAAAGTATAAAGAGGAAAATGCCGTGCCGAAAATCAGGTACATACACTCGTATTTGAGTCACGGTAGCCAGAAAAATTAAGAAGCGCTACCTGCTGAGATATTGAGTTGCAAACAAAATTACGTTGACAAAATATTACATGGATTAGATTAGGAACGCAATTCTTAAATTTACAGAATCCCAACTGATTGAGATGTGAAGATATGAAATGGGTAAGGATGACATAAATTTATTATAAATCTGATAATAATGTAAAGGCCACACAACGTTGTTCTTCATACTTTGTATAGAATAAAGAAATTTATTTAGATTTAATTGAAGAAAATGAAAGCAATTGGTAAGAACACTATGATTCTAATAAATACTCAATAATTACATTATGCGTATAGGAATGTGTATAAAGGTAATTTTCTAAAGGTAATAATGAAAAGCTCATATAAAGCTCACTTCCGAAGATAAACCCTATATCCATTATAAATATATACTCTCTATATACATATAATTATATATATGCTCTATAACCTTTCTTCATATTAATTATTTACAATAAACATTTATAATACATTCTTACATTAGATTAAACTTGCTTCAAAATTTATATCTAAATAAATCAATTTGAAGAAAATTATTCTTGTCATAATTAAATTAAAATTATAATAAAAACTTTTGCATATTAGCATATAAACAATAATTCTGCATAATTAAAACAATTCTTGTTTTCAAATTTTCAATAAATATTACATATCTTATATCGTCTTTGCTTCTAACATATTTCGACGATAATGCTGCCAACAAAATGATCTCTTAGAATGAAGTTCACAATAACAATAAAAATCAAAACATCTGTGATCAAACCCAAGGTCCTAATCTAAGATGTCATCTCCAAAGATACTACCTAAATTAAAAATGTTGTCCTAGACTATAATAAATGTTTTAAAAAATATCCTAATCATATATACGATACAGTAGACGATCTTAAAGAAGTAATCAAATTAGAGCTATTTATTTTTTATTTTATAAAAAAATAAAACACGACATGTCAATATAAATTATTTTATTTCAGATACTAGTTTATATTATTTTTAAACTAGTCCGGAACACCTTTGAGTACTTGTTAACATAACTCTATAAATTCATCAAACATGAATATATAATGTAGATATTAAAAAACTTCTATGAAGTTATATCGTATGATCCTAAACGTTAGTTTTTAGAAATATTTTTTTTTAAAGAGGTTTTTTCGAACTACAACCAAAAAAAAATTGTTGTCTTTTTATATCATTTTAATTAATTGAATTTTTGGCTGACCATACAGCTGTTTCGAGTATTGCCAAATACCCATCATCAGTGATCTTAGAAATAATTCTTGTATTTCATTATTCGTAAATAATTGTTTTTGAGACTGCAAGTACCAGGAATCGAACTCAGGTCCTGCCAAATGTGAAGCTCAGAACCAGCGT